TACGGTTGCGAGTCCGAGAGCCTAACCACTAGGCCACCGACGCCATGTCTACAACGTCAATGGCCAAAATGTTGGTGTTGTCTGTAATTTGCCTCTTTTCATTCAGTGTTTTAATTTTTTGAAGGACATGTAAGTTGTCCTTGACCCAATGGTTGCCGCTGAAGTCGGGGACGAGGGGTTTAAAAATGCTGTCTAGCCAGTATGGGAGGCTCTAGTGGTAGGGCCTCTGATTTGTGAAATTATACCCCTTAAAGGAGGAAGTATTGAGCCTTGTTTGTTGGGTTTGTGGATCTTAGGGAGGCCATAGAAGTGGGGGCAGGATACTCTTGTGTATTTCGGGGGATATCACTTTAAGTAGTTGTTCTCTGGTGGGGGAAGGGGAGGAATGAGGTGTGGAACGACTGGTTCTTTTAGATGTTATTCAACATTGAGTTGTTGTTGTACCAGTGCTCTGTTATGATTGTGAAATCAGCCTTGAGTTCGATTCCTGTGTGAAGAAGAGTCTATTTATTAATTTGTATCGAGTAGTTTTCCGCTGATACACGAAAAACATAGTCCAAAGAGGCCTCCTCTGCACACACACACACACACACACACACACACACACACACACACACACACACACACAAACCTCCAGCAGTACCGGACACACACAGCCCTGAGACGGGACACACACACAAACACACATGCACTCCTCAATCAGTGCAGGACACAGGGTCCTGAGACAGGAAACCTAGTCAACCCCTAACTCTACAGAAGAAGCTGGGCGGGCCAACAGAAGAACTGAGCACTGAGCAGGAAGGCTCTACATATCGGTCTTCGTGTATGATGCGATCGAAAAGTAAAAAAGGAAATCTTTGTTTTGAGAATGCGGGCTCAAATTTCTTTTAGCACACAAGAATCTGTACCATCTAAAAACTGCCCGACACATTGTTCGAAGTTCTTTGGATTTTGCCCTAACTTTTAAAAAAAATTATTTTTTTTCTATCTTGGAGAAAATGACGGGGAAAAAATGGGAAGTGGATTCACGGTAACGTGGGTCAAAGACCTAGCATCCTTTTAAAAAAAATAAATCTTTTGTCCCCTGCCTTTGTCTCAAAGAAAATGGCGAAAACAAAGACACGACGCGGTTTAAGGTTAACGTAGGTCAAGATGAAGATTCCTCCAAGTCAGCTGTTCGGCACTGAAGCTCCTTGCAAGAATATTGTTTTGTTTTGTTTTTGTAAAGTGTTTTACGGCGCTCGCAACTGCATAAGGTCATAAGAGCGCGCGGGACACACCTAATATCTT